GGTACAGCCACTATGGAAAATAGTATGGAGATTCCTCAAAAAATTAAGAATAGAACTACCATATGATCCAGCTATTCCACTGCCGGGTATTTATCCAAAGAACTTGAAAACATGAATGTGTAAAGATACATGCACCCCTGTGTTCACTGCAGCATTATTCACAATAGCAAAGACTTGGAAGCAACCTAAGTGCCAATCAAGGGACAAATGGATAAAGAAGATGTGGTATACATGTACACAATGGAATACTACTCAGCCATAAGAAACCATGAAATCCAGCCATTTGTGACAATGTGGATGGACCTTGAGGGTATTATGCTAAGCAAAATAAGTCAGAGGGAGAGAGTCAAATACCGTATGACCTCACTCATAAGTAGAAGATAAAAACAACAACAAACAAACACATAGAGAAAAGAGGTAGATGGCTTACAAAAAAAATCCTTACCCATGAGGTATGTACTAAGTGAATATTGCTATAGAATCATAACTCAGAATAAAATATGTCCTATCATAACAACTGAAAAAAGTACATTATTTTTTCCATACTGGGCATTTCTTTCCCTAAAGAATTTTTATCAAGTAAGAAATATATCTCTAAAATATGAATTAGGGTCATTAATAGTACATTTTAACAATTATTAACAATGAATAAGTTCTTCCAAATCCAAGTGACAGGGCAAAATGAAATTCTATATCACTGAATTCTTACATTCTACACTAATGCCTAGTTAAGAGTACGATGCTAAATTACAATATCTAGCTAGTTTAAAACAGAAACTCAGAATTATTTTGTCCATGCAATGCAGTAGTGATCTGAGATAAATTTTTCTTAGAATACTAAGATTAAATTTAGAATTTAGTTATAGGTTGCATGATGAATATTATTCTACCGTCTGGAAAGAAGTATCAAATTCTCTCACAACACTACAACTCATTATTATAATCCATTATTCAAGTATAATTCTCTACAGCTTTTATATGATTAAAGTCCATAAAAGCACATTTTTCCATTAAGACTGCCTTAAACAGATACATAATCCCATTGTACCAAAAATATACCTTAGAAATAATACAATAATGAAATTATTTATTTTATTCATTCAAATAGGTGAAATCTTGCGAAGAAATAACGTTTCCTCCCATATCCAAAAGTAAAATAGAACTCTTCATGCAAATAAATGTTATTCAATATTCATTTACTAGGAATATTTACATCCACATGGAATAATTATATTCTTGATTAAATATTTGTAGGACTGAAAAGACAACTGTCAATGTTCATTGTAATAAAAATCATGGAAAAAGAATACTGACAATCCTTTTGAGTGAGGAAAAGAGAGACAGATTAAGAGAAAAAATTGAGAGAGTTGGGTCTGGAAACTCATTTCTGAACTCATTACATGATAAACTTCAATATTCAATCATTTTCAGCATTCTGCATCTTGTGACTATATTTTTTAAAATGATTGGAAAATCATTAATAAATCAATAACCTCCTGGTTCAACACATTCTTAAGTTTTATTCCTCACAAAATTCTCAATGAATTACTAGTAAAACTTGTAGGAGTATAGATTACATGTGATGTGGAAGACTGATTTCCAATAAGAATAAACTTTACTGAACACATTATATATCATTAAAGAAAGCACCTGCCACCACTCAATTTTCTTTGCTCTGCTGTCCAGGGCTTAACTAGTATGGATTTTTTTTTTTAATAAAAGGTAATTTTACTGGGAGGGTATGTTCTTGTAAAAGATAATACACATAACTTCCAGTAAATATAAAACTGCAAAAACTTAATTCATCAAATAGAAAGTGACCCTATAGTAAAGCATTTGCTGATAAAGAATGGGATTAACTCATGAGCAAGAACATTAAACTGAAACCTATAAAACTCTTCAAAAATTTTGTGCTGTATAGAGCTTTCTAATGTACACAGCCATATACCACTTTCTAAAACATTAAAAATATATTCAATATATTCAAATATGTTGTTATTACAAATGACTATTTTAAATTTGTAATTATACTTACAAATAATTATAAATTATTCAAAAGAGCTTAAAATTGATGTGAACAAATTCAATCTCAGCTTCCCAAGCAAATAAACTACTAATCATCTTCTCTGCCTAGTATCTACTGCCACATTGGCAAGATATCATCAGCCATTACCTACTCCATGCAAGTCAAACATTTAATCATAACACTATCCCTTCTTCCAAAATCTCTTCTGTTTCTGAAAAGAAACTGTACCATAACTTCACTCTGCTGAAACTGGTCAATGTGCTTCACTACTATGTAACACAAATTGTTAGAAGACAAGAAATTGCTCAACCTTAAATCAGTTCTCAGTTACAACTCTTTTGAAAAAAGTCACACTAACCATAAAGTTTTAAATTACACTTAGTACTGAAAACCAAATACTCACAAAGACGGATCTTGTACGAGATCCTTGAGATTTATCCCACTGCGATCTTCTGCAAGATTCCTGAAGCAACTATCACTCACTAAACAGAAAAGGGGGAAAGAAAAAGAAAATTAAATTTTACTTACATTTCATTTAAATTACTGCTGACCAAAAGAAATTTTTAAATTAAAGTTGGCTCTCTGGATAGAATTTTTCCAAACATCAATATTGATCAGTTTCTGGGCCTGGTAGATTTACCAACAAATATTAATATTCAATAACAAGCCAATAATCTACGCAAACAGACTTTATATAAATACCATATATAAAAGAGTAAACATGTGAATCTAAATTTTGTTCTTACTTTTACAAGATTAATTTACCAGCACACAGTGGCAAGTCACTGCTTTCACAACAACTAGAACAAAAGATAAATTATCCCCCCCAAATCATATTTTTATAGATGTTGGAGAAAACCGAAGCAAAAAGGATAGACTAGGAGAAAAGTGATATCTTTTCTTAGGTAAGCTGAGCCTCCTTATTGTTTTCACTTCTGGAAGATTTGCCATTTAGACACAAGCTAAGAATTAGACAGAGGAACACTACTAACAAAAGGAGAACCAGCATAGCTCTTGATGGTTTATGGGCTGGCATGACAGATTGGAATCTTATGGAGTCCTTAAAACACGGACAGTTTTCTCCATCCGTGAGATTCACTGAGGGCTGGTACTGCATAAGAGGATTTGTGGGAGGAGGAGAGTATGGGCCAGAGGGTAAATAATGTTGTCTGTAGCGTTGTGGTGATTAGGAGTTCAAGTTATACTACAACAGACAGAGCCTACCACTTTCAGAGTAGAACTCCAACAGGTCTCCCCTCAAGACACTTGCTCTCTGGCCGCCCGGTGGCGCAGCAGTTAAGTGCGCGCGCTCCACTTTGGGGGACTGAAGGTTCACAGGTTCGGATCCCGGGCACGCACTGACGCACCGGTTGTCAAGCCATGCTGTGGCGGCATCTCATATAAAGTAGAGGAAGATGGGCAGGGATGTTAGCCCAGGGCCAAACTTCCTCAGCAAAAAAGAGGAGGACTGGCATCGGATGTTAGGTCAGGGCTGATCTCCCTCACACACATACACGAAAAAGACATTTGCTCTCAACAAAAACAACCTCATCTTGAGATGAGTAAAAGGGAGCAGAACCTAAAAGGTACAGTAAAATCTCCACAATTTCATAGTATATAAGTACAAAGTCACCCTAGAAAGAAATATCTGCAACACAACAGGTCTTGATCTTAAAATATTTAAAACCAGAGGTAGACTAAGTATATCTAAAGCTGTCACTCAAATCACCCAGCTCAATTCATGGTTGAGGTGATTAGCACTCATCTTTTCTTTCTAATACAGGATTGAGAGGAAAACATTTACATCAATTTCTATGATCCTATAGAAAACAGTAGTTGGTATGCAATAAAAGTTACAAAGCATGGGAAGGGGCACGAAACGTGACCAATAACCAAGAGAAAAAATAATATATATAAGCTAACCCACAGATGATAAAAAATTGGAAGACAAGAACTTTAAGAAAACAATTTAACATAAGTTAAAGAAGATACAGAAAAATATTCATAGGAGATGAAAAGAGGAAAATTTCAACAGAATTAAAATTTATCAAAAAGAATCAAATAGTAGTATTAGAACTGAAAAATACAATATCTGAAATTAAGAAATCAGTGAGTGAGTTTTATAGCTGACAACACAACAAACACAGGATTAGTGAACTTGAAGAGATCAGCAAAAACTATGCAAACTAAAGCAAAGGGATAAAAAAAAAAATTTTTTTAAACAGCATAAGAGACATGTGGGAATCAAACAGCCCAATGTCTGAAGTTGAGAAGAGGAGAAAGGGGAAGAAACAATATTTTCAGGAAAAAACAGCTAACAATATTCCAAAACTGATACAATACATTAACTCACTGACTCAGGAAGTACAGCGAACTGGAAAAAGTGGAAGAAAATCACACTTAGCAGTCAAATGGCAAAAATCAAAGATAAAAAAATCTTGAAAACAGCCACGGGGAGAAAAAGGACTCATTACCTTCAAAGGAAAAACAATAAAACTGACAGCTGAGTATTCAACATAAACTATGGAATCCAGAAGATAATGAAACAACATGTTTAAAACGATGAGGGGAAAGCTAAGAATCTAAGTCTATACATTGATAAAATAACCATCCTAACATTAAAGGCAAAATAAAACTTATAACTTTATATTTATTAGCATTAATATTTAGTGACTGATTATTTTCTATTTCAATTTAACAGTTTTATTATATACCTTAGAGAACCATTTCTAATCTACATAAGAAGCAAGAAGAATATAACACTAGCCTTGTTCCTTTCAAAGATCCACTGCCTAATATTTTATTTGGACTTTATATTACCTTTTTTTTTTGTGTGAGGAAGATTAGCCCCAAGGTAATATCTGTTGCCAATCCTCCTCTTTTTGCTGAGGAAGACTGGCCCTGGGCTAACATCTGTGCTCATCTTCCTCTACTTTCTATGTGGGAGGCCTGCCACAGCATGGCTTGATAAGCAGTGCATAGGTCCGTGCCCAGGATCCAAACCTGCAAACCTTGGGCTGCTGAAGCAAAGCGCACGAACTTAACCACTATGCCACCAGACTGGCCCCTATATTACCTTTTCTTACAGAGAGTCCCTCAAAATTATAAGCTTTAAACCCCCCAAATCTGGATCTGCCTCTGATATAAATGATTCATACAAGCAATAATGCATTAAAAACATTTGAAGTTGAAAAAAGTTTGGATTGTTTCTTTTGGGTAAGAGTCTTGACATGAGTGCAGCCATGTTTGGCCGTTTCATTAACTTACAGCCACCAGCACACAAAGAAATATAAAGCTGCTTTCTGTGTGGTGGGAACTGGCCTTTCTCCCACAGAGATAGCTGCCATTTGTAAGAATTTCAAGGTCCTTTGGGCGTCAAGGCCTGGGGCAGACTGGCCACCTGTGCCGGGCTGGGACAATAACCAGGGAAAACAATGTACGTACACAACTGCCAGGCTGGGACGATAGCCAGGAGGCTCAGTGCACGTATGCCACTGATAACCATTTGTGCATGGAAACACCGAATGCTTGCTCTGTAAACTCTGTAACTGCTTATATAAACTGCTGGAAACCGAGGCCCGGTGAGAGTCTCACCTGTGGAGGGGACGCCCGGCCCAGGACCTCTGATGATCGGATTCCCGCCCAGCTGTGTCAAGTGAAGGGACTCTCCCCGGCAGCGGGGCGTGGATATTGTGAGTAACCGATCTGAGGTGTTCTCTTTTCGGTCAATCTGGTGTTTCTCTTTCCAGTTGATTTGTGCCATTTCTCTTCAGTTGATGTGGATGTTTTCCCTTTCCAGTCGATCTGATGTTTTTCCCTCTCACTATATGACCTATTCGAATCTGCTGCTATCTCAGTCAATGTGGATGTTTTCCCTTTCCAGTCAAGCTGATGTTTTTCCCTCTTAACATCTGACCTATTTGGATCTGTTTGTGGACTATCGCATTTACTCTCTTCTATATAATAAAATATACTTTCAGTCCATTTGTTTGGAGTGGAAAGCTTCTTTTACGTCTCCAATCAAATCCCAAAACCTCTCATAACACTAAGGAAGATCTGCCATGAGTTAACATCTGTGCCAATCTTCCTCAGTTTTGTATGTGGGTCACCGCCACAGCATGGCCACCAATGAGTGGTATAGGTCCACTCTTCCCATGAAGAGAACCCAGGCGGCTGAAGCAGAGTGCGCCCAACTTAACCACTAGGCCACAGGGCTGGCCCCTGAATTCTTTTTTATTTTCAAAACGATATCCTCCACTTTTTTTTTTGCAATGAGTACAGTAATTTTGTTTAACATATTATTTTCCTTTATATTTAATAGACAATGATCTCAACCTGTTGATTTGAGACAAAGTTTCTGTTTTTCATAATTTAAATACCTATGTTCTTTATTATACCATTTCCTGAGGAGAGCCAAAAGTAAAACAATAGAATGTTGGCACACTGTAAGAAAACTTGGTTTCCAGGTGAACTGAACTAAAATTATAGGTATATCGTAAAATTTGTTCTCATAAAGTTTCTCACCCAATTTGGCAAATACGAGAGCTTAGTTATAAACTTCAAGAGCCTGAAAGTTTTCGAGACTTAATTAAAACATAATAAACCTTTGCTCCTTTAAAGGCTTGCCAGTCAGCTATCTGTGAAATGAGTTTTACTAAAGAATGCACTTTTCTAAAATTCATGTCCCATTCAAATTTTAAGTTAAAAACAGAGCAATAAATCTAAAGAGAGAGTTTCTTAACAAAAATTCTGAAACTTTGGATGCCTAATAAAATATATTTATTGCTTTTAGTTAAGATTTTTATCACAAATACAACAAATTTTGTCTTTAAATTATACATAAGAATATGGTACACTTTAAGAAGCTAGTGAACACACTTTTTTTTCTTTGTGAGGAAGATCAGCCCTGAGCTAACATCCATGCCAATCCTCCTCTTTTTATTTTTTTGTGAGGAAGACTGGTCCTGGGCTAACATCTGTGCCCATCTTCTGCACTTTATATGGGATGCTGCCACAGCATGGCCTGACTAGTGGCGCATCGGTGTGCACCCAGGATCCGAACCCGGGCCGCCAGCAGCGGAGCGCACACACTTAACCGCTACGCGACAGAGCCGGCCCCGTGAACACACTTTTTCATGTGTAAATCACACCAAAATGAATCACTTTTGGTCATCATATTTTTCTGTTGTTTTTTTCCCCCAGTGTATGCCAAGTAAGGGAATTACTATGCTCTTTGTTCCACTGATTAATAAAAATTCCTCAACATGTCATCACATAAGTCAGATAAAACAGGAGAAACTACAATAGAAACACACAGTCAAACTTTATGTACTAACATGAAAATTATAAATTTGCACCTCAATCTGGTTTATACTGATATAATAATTAACGTGGAGGGGAACAAAGGAAAATTAATTAGAAATATTTGTAAAATGGATTGTTTAGCAGAATTCTTATCCAATCACATGCATTTTTTTCCTAA